TATGGCCAGGCACATATGTATAGGTGTGCTATATATGTACTATAGGTACATATATGCACTAACTCATTTGAACCTCACAGCAGCAGCCTATAAGGTTTATTGTTACCACCATTGTACGCATCTGGAAGCTCAGCACAGGCAGCTGAGTAGTGACCAAGATCACATAGCTGGGAAGCGGCAGAGCTTCAGGGATCTCCTGTGACTCTTGTACCTAACAGCTTTTTGGGATATAACTCACGTGCTGTACAAGTTACCCTTTTAAAGTATACAGCACAGTGTTGTTCAGGATATTCACAGACTTATACAGCCATCAACAGATCAATTTTAGGACATTTTCATCACCCCAGAAAGGAACCTCCTACTCTTTAGCAGTCACCCCTTTGCCCCTCGTTTCCCTCCACCCTCGGCCACAGACAACCACTAACCTACTTCCTGTCGCTGTGGGTTGGCTATTCTGGAGATCTCATGTAAGTGGAATCTTACAAGGAGTGGTCTTTTGTGCCTGGCTCCTTTCACTCAGCATAATGTTTTCAAGTTTTATGTCTATGTAGCGTGTGTCAGTCCATTTCTGTTTAGGGCTGGATAATATTCCATCGTATGGCTATACCGCCTTTTATTTAGCTGTTCAGGAGTAGATGGACATTTGGGTCGTTTTCACCTTTGGGTTTTTGTGAATAGTGCTATTGTGGACAGTTTGTGTGTAACTCTTTGTGTGAGTGCGTTTTCAGTTCTCTTGGGTGGAATTGCTGGGTCCTACAGCTTCAGTGTTTACCTTTGTAAACTCCAGTGTTTCACCTCTGGAGGACTGTTTTTGCAAAGCAGCTGTGCCATTTCCCATTCCCACTAGCGGTATACGGGGGCTCCAAATTCTCCACATCCCCACCCTGTTACTATCTGTCCTTTTCATCCTAGCCACCCCAGGGTGTGTGAAGCGGTGTCTCGTTGTGGCTTTATTGTGCTGATGACTGACGACTAATGCTGTTCAGCATTTTCATGGGCAGGTTGGTCCTTAGTGTATCATGTTTGGAGAAAGGTCTACTCAGATCCTTCGTCTATGTTTTAATGGGGGCTTCCTTGACTTCTGCCGAGGGAAGCAGCCCTCGCTTCTCAGGGAACACTGCCCCGCTGGATGAGGGCTCGTGCGTAGATGGGCGTTTGGCAGGGTTCCTGGCGGCGGGGAATGAAGTCATGCAGCGTCCGGGGAGACGCAGGGGTGAGTGGACAGGCGGGCCGAGCAACCAGACCTACACTGATGGGCAACAGGGAGCCACCAAGACACTGGGCCAGTGGGTTAGAAGTCAGAGGACTGGAACCTCTCTCATCACCATCCCTGATCCACTGCAAACCTTGGACAAGTCAAGGCACTTATCTTCTCCAGGCCTCAGATTTCACCTCTAAAACGTGCTTGCTAATGCCTGGCCTACGTACCTCGTCAAGCTGCCGGGGGATTCAAAGCCCTGGGTGGAGAACCTGCTCAAGTATCAAGTCTCTATAGAAAGCAGAGAATGCACCAGTCAATATTTCCATTTCTAGAATTCCATAGATTGTGTTTGCTGCCTCTAGGATGCCCAGCGGTGGGCAAAGGACATGTGAAAACAGAGAATTTTCTCGGTGGCAGTGTGGAAGACGGGGGAAGCAAGGAGAGGGTTGTTGCAGTGACAGGGTCTGCAACGGGGCCTCACCTGGCTGTGGGAGGGGCTGATGCCCAGTCCCGAGCTTCCATGAAACAGGTAGACAGCACCCTGGTTCTCCTCTTCTCCCGGGGCCCCGATGGCCACGTCCGTCAGCTTGTCCCCATTCACGTCCCCCAGCACGGTCAGGGCTGCCCCGAAGCGTCCCCAGGGGTGGCCCTGCTCCCCTCGGAGAGTGACCTCACACCGCCACCTCGCTCTCTGCAGAACAAATCCCATGCGAGTCCCTGGCCTGGGCAACTCCCAGGCTCCCCCCACACCCAGGCCCACCCAGCCCAGGTCTCCTTAGCAGCCACTTACCGCCCGGGGCAAGGGGCAGACAGACACCTGGCCCCCCCTGGGGCGGCTCGTAGTAATGGGGAGCCCCGATGAGGACCAGGTCGGAGCTGCCATCTCTGTCCACGTCCACGGAGCAGAGGGAGGCCCCAAAGTAGGAGCCAATCTGGAGGGCAGAGACTGAAGTCACCCTTTCTGCCCCCGCCCAGAGGGGCCCCTCTGGGCCAAGTTCCGCCTCTCCCCAGGCACCGGGACCTCCCGCTCCACAAGCCCCAAATCCCTTCATCTCCTCCCTCTCCAGCCCTGGAGACCCTGCCACCCTCACGTTCCTCCACACCCAACCTGGGTCCCTGCGACGGCAGCCTTCGGTCTCCATTGCCTGGACACCTCGGTGAAGATGACAACCTTCCCGGTGTGCTGGTGGCGGGGGGCCCCCAGGACCAAGCTCTGCGCCCCCTTCCAAAGGGCCAGCTCGATGGAGTAACCTGAGGGGGCCAGGCCTCAGCGCAAAGGCTCGCCCTCTGGCCTCGGGCTCCTGCCCCTCCCGCCCGCTTTCACAACCAAAGCCTTTTCTCACCCAGGTAAGAGTCCCTCATGTCCACATTCTCCTGAGACATGTTGATGAAGGTGGGGCTCATATTTGGGGGGTATACAAAGGCACCTCCAGACCAGCTGAAGCTTCCCACAGCCCCCAGAACTGGTCCCTCCTGGAGAGAAAGGATTCTGGGGCTGAGCGAGGGGAGCGAGAAGAGATGCATTTCCAAAGCAATCGCTGCCACCAACTCCCCTTACTCACATGTCATCTACCTGCAGCTTCCCTCCTCCCTGCCTTCCCTCATCCTACATCAGTGGCCTGAAAGGGACCCCACTCACAGGTGTGAACACAGCGCTGAAGCCCTCCTGGGACATCTCGAATTCGAAGGAACTACTGCGTGTGGTCTGTGTACCTAGGGGAAGCCATGACACTTGGGTTCCAGGGGGAAGACAGGCTTTGCCAAGTCTGAAGACACCTAAGCTTTTAGAGGATCTCTTGTTGAAGATTAATACGCAAAAGGAGGTGTTCATGCCCATGACCAGGAAGTCTAAGTTCAAGAAGGAAAGGCACTTATCAAAAGAGGGTTTCTGAAATGAGTAGTTCCATCCCTGACTTACCCTCAATGGCAAAGATCTTCTCTTTTAGTTGGTTTTGAATGTCTCTCAAAGCATCAAAGTTGTCCACTTTAAATATGTATTCATTGGAGGGCCTTGATGCAATGTCATTCAATTCCCTCCAGGAATGCGTATTTTGAAACGCAGATCCCACCTGTCCCCAACAAAAACCCACTCAGTGAAAATAACCACAAATCTAACGTGCCTACCACTTTCTGGGTACTGATGTCCTCTAATAACACTGCCAGGTCAATATTATTTTACCCAATGTACTGGAGAGAAAAGTGAGCTCAGAAAACAGCCAGAAGTTTAAGGGAAAAGATCTGGGTCCCCAGGCTAAACCAGTTTTCATCCTGAAATGTAGTAGAAGCTGGGAGAGCTGGGGGTTTCTGTCCTTGAAAGAAAAGTTGCCTTCAGAGGAATTGGCAGGGGGCGGGGGGGTTGCCACATCCTACCCCGACCGCATAGCGGATGATGCCCGCTGCCTCAGCCATGGGGATGACATCCCGATAACCCAGGGGGTCGCCTTCTTTCCTCCCATCAGTGATGACAATGAGGATCTTGGAGGCATTCTTTCGGGCCCCTTTTGGAGCACTGAATAGTTGGTTTCTGTCAGTGAAGAAGAGGATTCAGAGGCCATTGAAGAGACCTGCTGTCAGCCCCTGATGTCTTTGTGAGCATGAAGAGGTGACCCTTCCTCTGAGAGACCCTGGTCTTGCTCAGAGGCTCCCAGCTTTGTGAGGAGAACACAGGTGAAAATCAATCCCATCTGTCCCTTTTCATGGAGCCCGATGAGGCCCAGAAGAAAACCAGACACAGTGGGAAAGGACCTGGAAGAAGTCAGGACTCACATGGCATTCCTGATGGCTGTGGCTGTGTGCGTGGACCCTTTCAGCTGATACACAGAATCCAACAGGCTTAGTGGGTTTGAGTTGTTTGTGAAGTCTTTAAAAGTGAAGTGAACCCAGACGGTGCTGGAGAACTGCATCAGGGTGAACTAGGAGAAGCGGGTGGGGCTGGCACCAAGGTCACTCCACCAGAACCCCCAGCACGCCTCCTGCAAGCCCCCCAACGGGTCCTGCACACTGGCCTTCCCTGCCCTGAGGGCACACCTGGGTGCTGGGCCTCTGGAACTGGCTCATCACAGCCTTCACGAAGTTCAGCATCTTGGTAAAATCTTGGGAAGAAATGCTGCCTGAGCCGTCAATCAGAAAGACGATGTCCTGCTCCTGCCTTGGGCACTCTGGGGAAGGAGATGGCACCAGTCCTCTGAGGGACACTCCCAGAGCCCAGGACCTCAGCCTTCTGGTGACAAGAACCCACCCCTTCTTCCCCAGGGGTTTACCTAACCCCTGCCCAGAACAGGGCCCCTAGGTTCCCTAAAGCCTCTAAGCCTCCAAAGAAGCTACATCTGAGATTCAGCAGCTCACATCAGCATGGCCAGCCTGGTTGATAAAAAAAAGTGAAAGTTTTCCAGTCTAGATGGTAAGAAGCCGCACCCTGACTTCTACCTCAGTGGTCTGTACCCCTCTCCATGGGCCCCACCAAACCTCTTTCCACAACATCTCCATTCTGGCCCAGCCCCTGGCCAGGGCCTCTCCTCCTTGGTCAGTGATGAACTGAACTTTCATTAAATTTTTTTAAAATTCAGTCTCCATAGAGACAGTCAAAAATTGCCAAAGCTGCCCCAGCTGGTGTGGCTCAGTGGCCTGAGTGCTGGCTTACAAACCGAAATGTTGCTGATTCAAATCCCTGTCAGGGCACATGCCTGGGTTGCGGGCCAGGTCCTCAGTTGGGGGTGTGCAAGAGGCAACCTATTGATGTTTCTCTCCCTCTCTTTCTCCCTCCCTTACCCTTCCTCTAAAAATAAATAAATAAAATCTTAAAAATAATTTTTTTAATTGCCAATGCTGACTGCATTTCAAGTCGTCATGGTGAGGTATTGGGAAAAGCTTTCAAGTAGCAACAATGAGCCTCGGAAAACTGCATTGGCTATGACACTACCACTATGCAAAGCTTTGTTAAATAATTTTAACTTACTTCTCACAATAGCCGCACACTGGCCCTATTCTCTTCTCTGCTTAGATACAGGACCCCACTCCCCTCCTAGGTGAATACAGAATCTGTCCTCAGAAGAGGAAGCTCTCCCATCTCTCAGCTCTCCCTTTCTGCCCCAGAGGCCTCCCACCAGAGAGGGTGGAGTCCTGGATGTTCTCAAGAAAGCCGAAGTGCCTGTGGTAAAATTTAGAACCTTGAAGGTGCTAAAACAGGGGGCGGGCGCTTCATTCAGTGGCCAGATGTCATTTCCCCCAAGGGCCTGAGTGTGAATGTGAAACTAGGGAGGGGCCCCTGTCTGCTGTGAGCTGGATCTGAAGATCTCACTGGTTCACCACCGCATTTCCCATTCCCCTCAGCACTGGGGAAGCGAGGTCCTGTGACTCAACCTGCATACATGAGCGCATGTAACACATATACATTTCACACAGGGTACACTGGGTGAAAACAGATTCTCTTCTCTCTAAAAATAATAGCAGTTGGCATTAATTGAGCCCTTACCACATGCCAGGCACTGTGCTAAACGCTGGCCATGGAACATCTAATGTTACTCTGTGTTGGGTGTGTATTTATACGCATCTGAGAGATGAAGGAATTGAAGCTCAGGCAGGGTAAGGTCAGAGGAAAAGTCCCACAGTGAGACAGTCATAGGGCATGATGTGAAAGCAGGCCATGACTCTACAGCCCATGTTTGACCCTCTCCATAATCCAGTAAATTTTTTTTCCCAGATCTGTCTTTTTTATCTACTCTGGTAGGAGTGTGTCAGGCCTCATTGCATCCCCAGTCAGATGTGTGTGGGCTCCTCTAAAGACCCAGTGGCCCAAACACTCACCCTGCAGCGCAGCTGGGAGCCTCTGGACATTCCTGGAAGCGGAGGCCAACAGGAAGCAGAACCCAGTCAAGTACATGTTCTCCTTGCATGAGTGGTGCACAGTGGGGCCACAGGCCTGGGGACAGAGGGGGTTAGTGGGAGGAGATGCCTGTCTCTCTCCCACCCAGCCCCCCTATTCTAGCACCTCCACCCTCCACAAGATTCCCCAGCTCCAGCAGCCCCAGATCCCCACCTCTTCCCCCAGGATGCTCCTGTGACCTGGGGCAACTCACCAGCAGCTGAGAGGGGTTGGTGACAGCTGTCAGGGATAGGCCTAAGGACATGTTCACAGCCTCTGGGGGGACTGAAGGGACATATATGTGTGTGGTCACCCTCAGGACAGAGGAAACTGTATACATCTGGGCAAGAGTTAACTCATCCCTGGGAGACAAGGAGGTCTGGCACATGAAAGGGGCTTCCAGGTCTTGATGGAGCTACAGGGGTGCAATGGGTGGGGAGGTCATAAGGGGTTCAGGAAGCCTGTCTGAGAGTAAAGGTTTACAAACAGAGATGAAGCTAGAGATTGGGTCCCCTGTGCCCCACACAGACCCCACAGTACATGGGAGCCTGGACCTTGGTCCCGGGGAGGAACAGTGACTCACCCTTCAGGTAGATGGGCTGACAGGTGGCTGTGCTGTAGTCACACTGATAGAGGCCTCCTGTTTGGTTGACAGCTTTTATCTCCTGGGGGGCTCCAACCACCACCCTGGGGAGAGACAGAGAACACTGCAGTTAAGAGTAAGGGCACTACAGACAAAGACAAATACCATATGATTTCACTTATATGTGGAATCTAATGAACAAAACAAACAAAACAGAAACAGACTCATAGATACAGTGAACAGAGGGTTGCCAGACGAGACGGGGGTGAGGGAGCTGGCTGAAAAAGATGAAGGCATTGAGAAGTACAAATTGGTAGTTACAGAGTAGTCACAGGGAAGTAAAGTACAGCATAGGGAATATAGTCAATAATATTGTAAGGTGCCAGGTGGATACTAGAATTATCAGGGGGATCACTTCATAAATTATACAATTGTCTAACCACTATGCTATGGACGCTAAAGTTGGACTGTTATTCCAGCAAGTTTGCTTCAGCTCTCTGCTTCAGTTTTCTCATCTGTCAAGTGGAGATTAGTAACAACTTAAATTCTGCATGGGAGGGATTTTTGTCTGTTTTATTCTCTGGAGTATCCCTGGCTCCTGAGACACACAGTAAGTGCTCAACAATTGTTGAGTTGAGGACTACATCAATACCCACATAAAGGGTGTTTGGCACAGTGCTAGCACCTAGTAAGTGCTCAATAAAAGTTAGCTGTGAAAATTGAGATGGTAAGACAGCTTTTGCTTTCAGTTCAAATTTTCATAGCCTTGGGGGAATTGTCTTATCAGACAGAAAGAAAAGCTTGGAATAAAGGGAGGGGTAGGGGAGGAACAGAACCCTGAACAGAGAGAGGACTTGATGAGAGCCATAGGTCAGTCACCACTTGGTTCTCACCAGGAGTTGGCGTACTGGACGACGCTCTGTCCAAACCCAGCACTGTTCATGGAGAAGGTTGTTGGCTTGTCCGTGTCCAAGTTGAAGCAGAGAGAGGAAGTCAAGGCTGGAGAAGAGGGTAAGGAGAGAAGCTTTGGAAAAGGGTCTTCTTTCTGCTCCATCTCCCCAGGCTCAACCCCTGGCCTCCCCTGCAGGTCCAGTGCCACAGTGTCTCCTAGTCTTCTGGACTCCCAGGCTTGGACCTTCTTCAGCCTTGCTTCTATCTTTCAGATGGTCGAGAAACAGCTCTTCACTTAGTGGCCTACTGGCGAGTTTGAATTCTCCATTTCTGCCAAGCAACACCCCAGCTCTAAAGATGTGCCTATCCCACCCTTACCCTGGTGTTCCTAAGAGGGAGAGTCCAGGAAAACTTGAGACCAAAGGGGTGTTGTGGGCAGAGCACAAAGTTAAGTAGGTTCTGCCTACTTGAGAAATCTCTGGATTGTCCACAAAACTGGCCTTTCTGAGAATCTCTTAAACTCCCCCCAAATTCATTCCTCAACCTCCTCTCTCTCCACGAACTCCAGATCCCAAACTCTAGATCCCTCTCCTAATGTCTGAGTCCAAAACATGTGCATTTTCAGCTCTCTTCTTACCTGGACCCTAATCCCTTCATCCCCCTTAATCAGGGCCCCCAGCTTACCCATCAACAGGAGAAGGGGTGCCCTGGTTCTGGTCATGACTAGAAGGTCAGACGTGGGCTTCCAAGCTCCTGAGCTTTGGAGAAAGGCTGGATGTTCCAAGATGCCAAGGGAACAAGTAAGCGGAGATGTGGTCAAGAGCTTGATGGTAGAGAAGGAACTTGTCTGAATGACTCAGAAGTGGAGGGTGGAGAATATGACTAAGATGAGAAGAGAAAGGGGCCAAGGCAGCCACACACTCCAATCCAGGAGTCTTTCTGACCAGAGATGACTTGACTTGCTTCTTTTGCCTCACCAATCTAGACTTGTGTGGATGCCAGTCCTTGCTCTGCCCCACCTCTCCCAATTTTCCTTGTTGTACTGGCTGAAGGTTCTGCTTGACCTCAAAACTCCAGTTAACCTGAAGAGAGAGAGGGAAGAAGTCAGGGTGGGGTTAGGACCCTAATGGATACTCTGGTGGGAGCCCTCCATTTCTGGCCTGGAAACCTCTGGGTCAAGCATCTGGGTCAGGCAGTCAAGCATCTGGGCCCTTGGAGGAGTACAGGATGGGTATTCACTTATTTATTCAACAAGCCTAACTTCAGGCCAGTTGTGCATGCCCTCTGTCAGAAGAGGAAACACAAACCACAGGTCCCAGCTGAGGGGTCAGTGGAGAAGGCAAATGTGTAAACAGCATGACTTTGCTATGAAGAGAAACACATTAACTGCAGAGAAACTTACCCAGGCTGAAATGGGTGGTTCAGGCAAGGCATCCTGGAGGAGGTCACACTTGAGCTAAATCTTGAATGCACCTGACTCCAGGGGAGCATGTTTCAGAAGGGATCGGCAAATGTGGAAGAGGCATTACACAGGAGGGACTTTGTGGAAATCAGAGATGGAAACTGGAGAGTGGGAGGGAGGTGGGAAGTAGCAAGCGATGAGGTCAGTGCCATGGGGAAAGAGAAGAAGGGGAAGCTGGTCTCAGGCCCAGACACCCTCTTTAAGTCATGCAATTTTTTCCTAAGGACAGAGGAAAGGATTATCCTTCAGATTTATATTTTATGAAGCTAGAAAGAGGGGCCGATGAAGAGGGAGATGATGGGACCTGTAGAGTGAGCTAGTGGCCATGGTGATGGACCAGAAGGTGACTGGTCACTGAGGGGAGGACAATAGTGCCAGTCCTTGATCTACAGAGCACCAGAGAAGGGGAGGGGAAGTGGGTTAGGCCAACTTTGGTCTTGAGAAAACCTAAATGTAGTGTTTAAGAGCTTGGATTCTTTTAATCTCCCTATGCCTCAGTTTGCTTATCTGCAAAATTCAGGTGATAATAAAAGTATGCACCTTCTATTGCTGCTGGGAAGGATGCGTTGGTAAGTGTGAAATATTTAGAAAAGTGTGTAAAAGCTTTAACTCCTGGCTGTTATCATTGCTATGCTGTGATGATTGTTGCATTAGGTAAGAGGGACCTGAAGGGCTCTGGGAGGCAATTGGGTATGTGGGACTGGATCTTAGGGGAAAAGTCTATGTTGCAGATGAGTTTTGGAACCATCAGCAGAAGTGCTGGATGAGATCCTGGTGGCAGTGTGAAGAGGGAGGAGAAAGGTGTGCCTGGGTGAGTCCCAGGGAAATGCGAATGTTGGCAGCAGAGCAGGCACCTGTGGAAGTTGTGAAGGAAGTGGTACATGAACAGAGAGAAGCCCAAGAGCAAGAAGGACATCTTGGACGGGCAGTGTAAAGGGAGGAGTGGGAGTAGTGTCACAGGGGACCAGACATCAAGTGAGGTCAGAAATAAGAAAGTCCCGGGATCTGGCAACAGAGGCTGCTGGTGGCCCTGGCCGTGCCAGCATGGTAAGGGTTGGAGACTTGGGGTCCTGGGCATGGAGAGGTGGGCAGCAATATCACCTACAGAAAAGCAGCCCTGAAAACCTCAGACACCA